GGAATAAGCCTGTGGCTAATTAGTATTTTATTTCTTTGTAGATTACGAAAATACTGGCTGAAAGGTGAGAAAGCCGGTACCACAGAAGTAATAGCAATCCTCCCAGGATATCCTGACAATGTGAGAGCAAATGAAAGAAATGAGTTTTGGGTAGCAATCCACTGTCGGCGCACCATTTACAGTTACATAAATGCTATATACCCACCACTTCGTCAATTCTTGCTGAAGCTTCCCGTCTCTGCAAAGCTCCAATACCTCATGCATATTGGTGGCCGGCTCCATGCAGTCGTTGTGAAGTACAGCCCCGAAGGCAAGCTCTTACAGATATTGGAAGATCGACAAGGAAAAGTCGTTAAAGCTGTCAGTGAGGTAGAAGAGAGGGAAGGGAAGCTTTGGATGGGGAGTGTTCTGATGTCTTTCATCTCAGTTTACCAACTAGAATGAACTCAGGAGCTTTTGCTTTGCTTTCTTTCATACTTTCATTATCAATCACTTCTCATTTAGTTTGCCAGAAGACTGGCATTGGAAAAGACTCATTTTTACTTCCTTAAGAGTTGTATGTAGCATCTATTTAAATAAGCATTATTATAACAAGTCTATCTGAGGAACATATATGTAACCCCTTATTTTATGAGAAATATTCTTAGAGGAGGCTTTCTTAAACCAAGCCAAATCATTTTGCATAATTCTGAGATTTAAAATTTAAAACGTTCTAATTGCATGCTGCTTCATCTCACTTCAATGTATTTTGAGTTCACACCTATAAGCAGCAAGTTATGGATTACTTTCAAGTACAAATAATTGCACTTCTTATCTACCTTAGCAGGTTAACTTGAACAATTTACTGAAACTTAAGGTGGATAAACTCGTAGTATTTGAAAAAATACTTAAATAGTTGTACATTATTTCTTTTTAGAAATGTTGGGTAATTATTAGTACAATTGGCTTATGGAAAGAAGGAAAGTTGTAACTGAGAAAATTCCCAAAATGGTATATTTTTCAACCAAGCTTCAGTATAGCGAAAAATCCAAAAATGGCCAGTTTTTCGCCTGGTCAATCAAATGTAGCCACATAATCACCGGTCAACGAAATTTAGCCACTAATTTAGTGCGGTAACATTTTGTTGACTAAAATACCCCTACTTTTTTTATTAATTTACGCGACTTCACCTTAAATTCTTCTTTTAACAAAACTTAACAAAATCTTCCGGCATTAATTTTCAAATCGAGTTATTAGGAAAATTTTCGCCGTCAATCTGTAAATCGAAATATTAGCAAAATATTTCGGCGTTAATCGAGGTATTCGCAAAATCTTCCGGCGTTAATTTGCAAATCAAAGTGTTAGCAAAATCGTTCTGCGTCAATCTGCAAATCGAAGTTTTAGCAAAATTTCCGTCGTCAATCTGCAAATCGAAGTAAGTTCTATCTAAAATTTGTCTAATTATTTAAATTTCTTCTACGATCAAGAATTCAAACCATAAAATTCAAAGTATCAGTAAAAAAATTTAATTTTTCGAATTTTTGATTTGTTTTTAATGCTTTAATCTGTGTTATTGTCTAATTTTCTCAATGTAGAACATAGCGCGAGTATAATTTGTTGCACGTTTCTAAATTAATATCTAAAGCGAAGATTTTTCCAGCTTATTATACTGGAAATCTCATAAAAAAAGCATTATAATTCACTTGAAGTATGTTTCGTTAATGTAGATATTATGTTATAATATAATTGAGTTTTGTTTGAATCCAGTATATTTTACGGGACATCACGTGTGTGTAAGCTTTTCCTCCAATATGTTATACTGGATAAGTTCTAACACTAGAATATAATTGAGTTTTGTTTGAATCCAGAATATTTTACGGGACGTCACCTGTGTGTAAGCTTATTCTCCAGTATGTTAAACTGAATAAGTTCTAAGACAAGAATATAATTGAGTTTTGTTTTAATCCAGTATATTTTACGGGACATCTCATGTGTGTAAGCTTATTCTCCAGTATGTTATACTGGATAATTTCTAAGACTAGAATATAATTGAGTTTTGATAGAATCCAGTATATTTTACGAGACATCACCTGTGTATAAGCTTATTCTCCAATAAGTTATACTGGATAAGTTATAAGACTAGAATATAATTGAATTTTGTTTGAATCCAGAATATTTTACGGGACGTCACCTGTGTGTAATATTTTTTATGTTATACTGGATAAGTTCTAAGACTAGAATATAATTGAGTTTTGTTTGAATCCAGTATATTTTACGGGACATTACCTGTGTGTTAGCTTATTCTCCAGTATGTTATACTGGGTAGGTTCTGCATAAACTAGAATATAATTGAGTTTTATATCAATCCAGTAGATTTTACAGGAAATCACCTGTGTTTAAAATTTTCTCCAGTATGTTATACTGGACGAGTTCTATTTAGAGTAGCATATCATTGAGTTCTATTTAGACTAGAATATAATTTACTGGACGTTTCCAGTAAATTATTGTAAAAATGTATTGTAATTCACTTGAAGTATGTTTCGTTAATGTAGATATTATGTTATAATATAGTTGAGTTTTATTTCAATCCAGAATAATTTAAAGTACGTCACCTGTGTGTAATGTTTTTCTCCAGTATGTTATACTGGACGAATTCTGTTTTCAGACTAGATTATAATTGAGTTTTGTTTTAATCCTGTATATTTTACGGGACATCGCCTGTGTCTAAGCTTTTTCTCCAGTATGTTATACTGGATAAGTTCTAAGACTAGAATATAATTGAGTTTTGTTTTAATCCAGTATATTTTACGGGACATCACCTGTATGTAAGCTTATTCTCCAGTATATTATACTGGATGAATATTATATTTTTAAACAGTATAATTTCTAGATATCTAATTATTTGGGTTCATTAAATACAGGATGCATACAAATTTCTTGATTATTGCGTTCGATGGCAAATGGACAGCAGATTACAAGTACTTGGATCATAAAACGAAGCTCCTCCTGATAAATGATGGGACTTCATTTGAAGAATTCCTTAGAAAATTTTTTGAAGTTATAGAGCTTGACAACAAAAAGTTTCAAGCAAATGTATGGCTTAATATCAACCTAGGTACTTCTAAGGGAATAGAAGTGACAAAAGATGAAGATCTTATTATGTGTATGATTCTTTTAAAAAATGATCCATACTATAAAGATTCGAAATTTGTTGTTGAAATATCAGAAAAACCAGATCAACAACTAGAAGGTAATGCAATAATGGAAATTGATAATCAACAGTTATTGCACAGAAACACATATGGTCCGTAAGAGCAAGTGTTGCTGATATCTCAAGTTGAAGAAGAGCAGGAGAATCCAATTTATGATATTACAATGGAAAAAGAAATTGTAATTCCTGTGGAAGATCAGCACATTGAATCACTACAAAGTATTGAAGGAAGAAAAAGGAAAGGAAAAGGAAAGGCAAAAGAATCTCCATCAATAATATTGAAGGAAAATGCATCACTGGATGATGTAAAAGTTGGTTCTGTTTTTCAAGATAAAAATGCCATGATTAGATGTTTTTGCTTAGCAGCTATAAAGGAGCATTTTGAGTTCTATGTTAACAGGTCAAGTAACACGAGATACTCTTTGGTATGTACTGATGAAAAGTGTACTTGGACTGTTCGAGGTTCAAGAATTAAGGAATCAACACTTTTTAAAATAGTTAAATTTCAGAGAACACATGAGTGCTCAGTTGATATTCGAAAATCATATCAAAGGCAAGCAACTTCAAATGTGATTAGAGATTACGTGATTGACAACTTAAGAGACATAGCTACTGAGGTAAAACCTAAGTTTATCATTTCAGAGATGAAAAGAGCACATGGAATTGATGTTGGTTATGGAAAAGCATGGCATGCTATTCAAAAGGGGTTATCTTTGGTAAGAGGAACAACTGAGCACAATTATGAGCAGCTGCCATCATATTTGTATATGATGGAACAAAAAAATCCAGGATCATATACAAATATTGTGAGAGATGAAGAAAACAGGTAAATTTCTTATTTATGATAAACTTTCTTTCCTGTAAATTATACTGGGTGAGTTCTGTTCAATCTATTGTATTTTATTTTGTCTAGTATATTATACAGGATGTTAATGGTTGCGTCCAGTATATTTTACAGGATGTGTGTATTGTATAAGCTTTCTTTCCTGTAAATTATACTGGATGAGTTCTTTTTATTTATTACTTTTTTTGAGTGATTTTTTATGTCCATTATTAAATACGGGACATAGTGGTTTAACAGTATATAACTCCAGTTTAATATACAGAAAACAAAATATTAAGTTATGTATTTCAATTTTATTTCATTTTCTGCAGTATATTAAACAGGAAGTTAGTGTTTGTCTTCCCGTATATTTTACAGGACGTGTGTATTGTAAAAGTTTTCTTTCCTGTAAATTATACTAGGTGACTTCTCTTCAATCTATTGTATTTAATTTTGTACAGTATATTATACAGGATGTTAGTGGTTGTCATCCAGTATATTTTATAGGATATCTGTATTTTATAAGCTTTCTGTCCTGTATAATATACTGGGTGAGTTCTGTTCAACCTAAAATTTTGTATTTTTAGTTTATTTTATCTAGTATATTATACTGGATGTTAATGGAACTTCAGTATGTTATACTGGAAGAATATTATAAAATAGTTAATTTTTGTTTGATGCCCGTAAATTTTACAGGACGTGTGGCATGAGCTTTATCTCCAGTATATTATACTGTGTAAGTTAACTGAATTTTATTTACTTTTCTTTTTACAGGTTTGTTTACATGTTTTTTATGTATGGGGCATCAATTTCTGGGTGGAAGTATTGTAGACCACTAATTGCTGTTGATGGAACATTTCTAAAAAATAAATATAGAGGTGTTCTATTAGTGGGTGTTACCAAAGATGCAAATAACCAGATATTTCCTATAGCTTTTGGAGTAGTGGATAAAGAGAATAATGAATCATATGAATGGTATTTCAGGGAATTAAGAAAAGCAATTGGGATTCGTAATGATTTAATATTCTTGTCAGATCGACACAAGGCTATTGCAAATGGAATTGCAAAGGTTTTCCCTGAGTGCTACCATGGAATTTGCATCTATCATTTAGAAAAGAATCTGAAGCAAAGAAGAGTGAGAAACACGTAGTGAATAATACTTCTTACTAACGTAGTCTGACAGAGTACTACTACTATAAGTA